TTTTTTTTTTTTAAATTTTCTTATTGTTAAGGGATTATTTTTTGTTTCTTTTTTTTAAACCATATAGAGTAAGTTTTTGGACATATGTGGCCTTAATGGACCCTAAGAATTTAAGAGAGCTTTTTGCCATCTCATAGTTACTTACTTAGTTCTATCAACCTTCTTGGAGGGGTGAAAGGGAATTTTTTTGGTTAATAAGATGTAACACGTCAATTTCCTCGACCGGATTTTTTGCCCGAAAATGTTTTTGAGGGTTTTTGTAGTTTTAATTATTCACACATTTCTTGCTGAATATGATGGGTACTTATCAGAGAATTAGAGAATTTGAGAATTTCGTGTATTTACAATAGATAAGGTTTTCATAGTAGATAGGTCGAGAAGTCTGAACTTTTTAAACTGTCCTCATTTGAATGCTGCATAGGTTTTAGATCTTACTCCACAGTATTTTACATTTTACCCAAAAGTGTGTTGAATTCTTACTTTTGAAACGCTGAAGTTTTATCATCATTAAATATTTTGTTAGTCATGAAGTATTTTTTTATAATCTTTATCATTTCATGCTATTTGTAAGTACCTGCAATCTTCATTGAATATTTGTTCTTTCCATCATCATCATCCTCACTATGACATGTTTGTAAAGCATACAATTTTTCTCTCTCTCCTCTGCTTATTCTAAAATCCACCTCGTTCTCTAATAGTCAATTATTGGGTGCATCTAGGTTTTAGGATTTTTGCCTGTAGTAAAAGAAGGTGACTTTAGCTGAAGTCTGTCACTGTAAAATGTGCCTACATCTCCTCCATAATCAATGTGTACGTAGAATTATGTCCAATTGCTGGTACTTAGATATAAAATCTGATAGAAGTTCAGTCATCAGTCAGTAAACGAAATTTTATTAAGGTTTCCAAGCAGCAAATTTGGCATTATTATTAGGTGTGCTTATATTTGGCTAGAATTTATCATTTTAAGGTGCATTTCTTGCGAAGTGTTGGATGAAGTTAAAGTACACAATCATAAATCTCAAGGATAGGTATATTTATGGCTGTTGCGAGCCATATCAAACTTAAGGTGATTCGTCAAGCTCAAGTGACGTGGTTGAACTGGCATGCGATATATCGCATTGATTAGGTAAAAAATCTCGGCAGATTTTGAATTTTTAGCACAAAACAGGACGCTAGCCCCTGCGCATGAGCCTAAAGAATCATTCTAAACCCAAAAATTGGCAAAATTCAGAGAAATGAAAGCAGAATAGTGTTTGGAAAAAAACCTTGCATTCAATTCAGCTATCGATTTCTGTATCGAATGCAAGGTTTTTTTCCAAACACTATTCAGCTTTTATTTCTCTGAATTTTGCCGATTTTTGGGTTTAGAATGATTCTTTAGGCTCATGCGCAGGGGCTATCGTCCTTTTATTTGCTAAAAATTCAAAATCTGCCAAAATTTTTGACCTAATTGATGCGATATATCGCATGCCAGTTTGACCATGTCACTTGAGCTTTACGAATCATCTTAAATTAGCTTGGCAACCAACATTGATTCATAGCATTTGGAATGGAAGGTTACAACTCAATTGAAGTGGTTAGTAGGGTTTTGCTATTCATCTCTAATCAAATTTTTTGTTCCAGTTTTATGGGATTACGATCTAGTACAATGGTGAATATGGAAGGACCTGTCGCAAAATTTGTCAAAGAGCAAATTCCAAAGGAAAAAGTTGTCATCTTCTCAAAGAGCTACTGTCCGTACTGCAAAATGGCCAAAGAGGTGACCCATTCTTTCTATCTTTTTTGTTTAAATTCTATCAGTAAAGAGGAGTAAAAGGGTTTTTGAAAATGAAGGCTTTGCTACTTTTTATGAATGAATCTATTAGATGAGTTATTCTTTTAGAGAATCTGCCAAGCGCATTACTTTTAGGGAAGGAAACTGTGAACTGTGTCTTTTTGTGCAAAGAAAATAGAAAGGCGTGCAGTTGTATGTGAACAGTAATGTGAAGGCTGCCTCAAAGAATACGTAGGCAAAAAATTCTCTGCATTCCTACTCAGTATGCAGTACATCTTTCAAGGATAGCTCAAACAATGTAGTTATCAGAACTGGAAAAAAGTATGGCTCATACTGTGTGTCACTATGAAATCTTACCACCTGAAATCCCACTTTATCTGTAGCTCATTATGCACCCTCTGATGTACATTGCCTTTAATGGAGGGACAAAGCAAGCAGTTGCCTGCAAAATTTGGATTTTTCATTTTTAAATTAAATTGAAATTGAATATTAAGTACAACCGAACTTATGCCTATTTTACTTCTTCAGGTTTTTGATAAATTATCACAGAAATATTATGCCCTTGAACTGGACCAAAGAGAAGATGGGGAAGAAATTCAGGATGTTCTAAAAGAAATCACTGGAGCAAGGAGTGTAAGGATTTCTGGTTTTCATTTTCTGATTTAGACTCTAGTCTGTTGAAGTAGGAGTCTCAAGGGCCCTTACATTTTTCTCCTAAAATTATTTCAGGGCATGTTATTTATGGTTTGCGAATAAAGAGAGTGTATCCTGATGATAGCGACAGACACTATCAAATGGAATGACATGTAGCTCCATCCTCATAGACAGGATCAGGCACAAGTTGTTGAAGTCAATAAATTTTCCTTGATCACGAAATGCATAGACTTCTAGAGATAGAGAGGATTTAAGCATCTCAACAAACATCTAACGATCGTATTAATATGCTAAAAGGAACTTCGTGCATAGAGATTGTGTGTTATCAACTTCTTTCTAGTCTAAATGTGTCCAAATAGAGCTCAGTGAACACATCAAACATTTCTGAATTCATGTAAATGAGAAATCAGTGTGCTCTGTGCTGGTCATTTTCCTGCTCGGTTAAAAAAATTAAAGTCTTTCGTATTAGGTTGGCCACCTAATTTATTTAAGCGTTTTTTAAAATGAAATAATATTTTTTTGTGGTGAATGTTTTATGCAAGTTTACAAAGACCATGCATTCGAGTGGAGAAAAATTTTTCCAGGATCCTGCATTAGTTATTTGTCCAATGATGAGTTTTTTTCACCAATTTTTTAGCCAATGTTTTTTTAATTCAATTTTGAATTCACTGATTTGAATTTAACACTAGTTGCTTTCTTCTTCTCATTTGATTTTCGGATTTTTTAACATTTTTAAAGTTTTCTGCATGAAAATCTGTCGTGAAAACATGGCTTTGTACTTAAAGTCTTACTTTGTCTAAAGGTCCATTACCTTGTATTGTCAAAAGTTTTGAAGACTCCAATCGCACTTGTGCACAACGTCAGGATTCAAATTTGCTTAAAATGTCTGCCACAGAAAGCATGGTAAAAAACTTCAAGAAATACAAGTTGGCATTCTTGCATAAAAAATAACTAACAGAGTTTCCAAACTCATAATTAAATAAAGACAGTTTAAAGAGTTTTCTCCTTAAAAAGCAATTCATCTTTTTATCAACAGCCATTACCCGCTGGGTAAGTGTTCATGGTGTTCCTGAACATTTTGTACTTATTTGGTGCTTGATTTTTCCAGGTACCACGAGTATTCATCAATGGGAACTTTGTTGGCGGTGGCTCGGATGTCAAAGCATTGCAAGAAAAGGGCGAATTAGTAAAACTCCTTCAATGAAGAACAAATACCGCTCTGGCAAATACGCTGTCCTCAGTCCTCTGCACAGCTCTAATTTCATGAGCTGAAAATGGTTCCTGCAAATTACGAGCTCCTAAATAACACACGTGTTTTTGAATGGTCAAGCCACCAAGGAAACATTGTATTTATATTATAAATCTTGTAAATTACTAGGCCCTTTTAAGCATTCTTTTTTGTTAATTTTCGTATTCATTTTTTTCTTTTTGATTTCAGTTTTTTTTATTTTTGGTTTATCCATGTCCACAATAGTAATACAGTTGAGGAAATAAATATTTAATTAATTTTTTTTAAAAATGTTTGTTATTTTTCATGTGCACTAGCATCAGCACAAGTCCATACGTACTTTCGACTATAGATACTGTTTTCATTTTTAGAATCAGCAAAACCACAGGACTCCTTCTTAAGAGTGTAATCAAAGCTTTAAAGTCAATTTTCAGGATGTCTAGATTCAACAATATTTTTTTAATTCTCTTTCTTCAGGTTCAATATCAATGGCCAAAGTGTGAAACCATGTACCGAAATTGCAGTGTTCCAAAATTTCTGCTCCTATTTTATTTTTTCGAAAGGAAAGAAGGCAACCTGAAGTAGTGCCAACTCCCTGTCAGGTTATAGCAGGATTGAGTCAGACCAGAGCACCAGAGAGCGCTGTGAAAACGACTCTCATGTATGTAAAAAGGCAACTTTACAGCTTGAAATATTCTGTCAGTATTCTGCTGACAAAGAGGCAAATCCAAAGAAATTTTTAGAAATAAAAATTACTTCAGCTAGTTCTCCAAAGAAAAAATAAAGTATAACAGGAAGTCTGCAACATTGCAAACAGAGATTCGTGGTTTTGCACTTTGGTCATCAATATGATTCACGAAAATTATCCCAAGAAACCATCAAGTTCTCCTGAAAACTAAAAAAATGTTTTATTCATGACAGTCCAACAGGAACGAATCTACACATAGGTATAAAATTTAAAATCATAGTTTCTGTTTCTTTATTAGAGTACAACAACAATTTAAGATCAAAAACAAATGACTTTGAAAAAACAAACAAGATGAAGCTCTCTGGGAGTCAGGGTTAGGGCAAGAGAGGGTATGAAATTTGAAGAATCGCACACTTTGCAAGCTATTGCAGAATATTATGATGCAAAAACAATTGCAAATAACGTTGAACTGTTGAGATAGCAACATTGGACTCAGTTTTGTCTAGCGATACTGATTGAAAAAAAATATTTGTGTGCAATTTTTCTGGTAAGTAATGATACACAGAGCAGTAATCTTATTTCGCAAGGCACCATGTGCCACATACACTTAAAAATCAGACTTGGACCAAAATGAGCAACACTAGCCAAACATGGCACCTGAAAAATCTTGGTAGCCTTGATTTTTGTTGCAGCCTTGGCTCCTTGAAGTAACAATACTTACTCTGAGGATTATTAGCCAAGGCCCTAATTTTGTTAGTAGGTTTTCAGTCAGCTGCAAGTTGTAGTAAAAATAATGACTTTACTACTTGATCAAATATGAATTGTTTGCACCATAAGGGAAAGGAGAATGGTTGGAGTTGGCTGTAAAAAATCTTAACTTGCATAATTTGAGTATCGTATATAATTTTCCAAACTTGAAAATTAGGTCTTGCAACTTGCAGTCAACCATTGCCAGCAAAATTTGGGCCCTTCATGGCCGAAAATGAGATTTTGAGAAAGAGATCCCCGTTGGCTGTGCAGAATACAAACTTCTGCTTTCTAAAAGCCTTTAGCAAATTCAAAACAAAATGAAAGTTTATTAGGTGGCAATTTTTTTTCCAGAATCCTTGTTTTATTTTTATTTTTTTTAGAGATATATTTCAAATTGAACTTAAATGAATTGGCTGTGAAGACAACAGATTTAAATCATTCTGATGTGGAGTTTCCTTTCTAACTGAGATTCCTGCTTGCTTATAAACAAACTTCAAGACAACAATTCACAAAATTTTAGGATTGACCGTTAAATGGAAAAATATTTCCACCACCTCCTATCAAAAATATTTCCTTCCAATGAGGGATAATTTTCTAGTAGATGTCTAATCCCACTCTTTCACCAGCATAAGGTTGTGGATCAATTTCTTATTTGTCATTCCCAATGACATTTACAGTGAGATTAGTGAAGGAGAGATGTCAATATTGCGGAGTTTCCAAAGGGTACTAAGAGTACAACTAATAGTTAGATTTTCCAGGAATTACAAAACACCTTTAATACCTGAGGAACTACTTGTTCAGTTAAGTATTAACATTCCAAAAATAAAGAAAAACCGAGAATCCTTGAAATTTCCCAAATTTTCTAAAAAGCAAAAAAAAATCCATGGCCACCAAAATTGAAGGACAGTAAAATAAAATCCTACTACGACACTTGAAATAAAATAAAAATTCAAAGTAATAAAAATTTCCTTCCTTTCTTATTAATTGATCTTAATTCTACAAATTTTTCTGACCCTTAAAACCCTGCTATTTAGATGATCGGTATTCAAGAGAAGATTTAAAAATCACTTGCTTTCTATAGATTTCCTGAGAAAGGAAACATAGATAGGAGATTTTTTCTTTTTTATAAAAAGTATTTCACTAAAACGATTCTACTGCTTCACATTTTTAAAAACTTTAAAATCGCAATAAGTTCGCAAAATGGACAGGAAAATTTTCAAATTTCCTTCCTATTACAGCAAAACCTCAATTATCTGACTATTTTAATTTGATGCCTCCAATAGATTGCATATTTTTACCTTTTACACGAAGAAACGCATTCTGATCACACTGTCTCAGTACTCCTTACTGATATTTTATTTTTTTTTAACAGAAAAATCATCACATGCATTTACCTGAAATTTTCGGTGATTTTTGGTTACATTGGCCGAAGATATTTATTTATTTTAAAAGATTAGTACATTAGCCTGAACAGAAAGGCTCACACAAGTCGAATTAGAAAAAGTTACAAAACAGATGAATATTACAAATTTAAAACTTCTTGCAAGGTGTAGTAAGCGTTTTGTAAAAAGTGCTCTTTTAATATCTTAATGAACAAATTTGACGACTCAGCTTTGACAAAGATCTCTTTCAACTCTTGAGGTAACTTGTCACTAAAATGTGCTAAATATGTAGACGCTAAAATTTTTAGAAACATTTGTGGGATGGTTCTTCCTTGCAAAAATAAAATGTTCGTAGAAATACTGAGACAGGGCAGACAAGATATGTTCCTTCGTGGGAAAGACGATGAGGGCTGGGAAAGGGTGGAGAGAGAAAATTGTTAGACAGATCTGCAAACATTCAGTCATAAAGTTTCACTTAAATTTGCTTAATTTTACTTTAACATGGATTTTCATTTTAAAATGGGCAAACTTCTAGACAGTGGGTGAACTTACACTGCAAGCTCTTTCATGTCTAGAGCTTCGATAAATGTTTACTTCTTTGTTCAGGAAACAAGGATCCTGTTGCCCAACATTTTTAATATCCGATCACTATATTGAGTCCGATAATTAAGGTTCTATTATAAAAGGAAATGAAGAACATCAGACATGCTAAGCATTACTAGAAGAGAATATTTTGCCTTCTATCATAACTGCACCAAACTTACTCCCATATGAAAGACTACAATCACAGAAGGGAAGACGTTTGCTCATGCCATATATAGCAGACTTAGACCAAAGTGAGCGGATTAAAAATATATTCACTTTTATGTTAAAATAGAGGCTGCAATACAATATACCCAAAAAAGAAAAAGCAATAAAAACCGAAAAATAAATGTAACTGCAGCATATCCAGCAGGTTTTGCATGAGCAGCAATCTTTGGTGAGAGCACAATGATTTTAAGAATAGATCTTAAAAACAACAAAAGACTGGACTTTTTTGACTCTAACAGGAGTTATTTAGGTATATAAACACGTAACAGTTGTGCACAAAATTTATCTCAGAGTTTCGAAGAGTCGAAACGTCAAATGTAAAAAAACAAGAGAGGGTGACTTTGGTACAGCGTTGTGGCAGTATTTAAAATGTATACTTATAGAACAATACAAAAAAAGGAAATATGTATAAAAATTAAAGAAGAAAAAAAATACCTAGTTTGTACAAATGATGGCAAAATGAACCATTAAATCGAATCTGGATTCAAGCTATATAAAATTTGCTCTCATTGAAATTTTTCGCTGGAAGCTTTCTTCCCATAATAAATAAAAATGTCTCTAATCATCTCCTGGGTGAAATCTAACAATTTTAAGTAGTATTGATTTTGAAAAATTTGAATTTTTGCTAAAAAGAAAACCAAAATATAGATGAGTCAAAGTGCTCATGGAGAGTTATCTAATATGTTCGGCAAATTATATGCAGCAACTTTCGGTCCTCTTTGATTTGCCATACTTGACATTTTATAATAGAGTAATTAGGGTTCTATACAGAGTCCACACCAAAGAAGTTCGCACTTTTGGACTAGGACAGAAGATCATCTGGCATCATTTTCGCATGGAAAGTGAATGCGAGAGGCAAGATGGTTAATCTTCTGTCTCACTTTCAGACTAAGCAAACTTAGTTGGCACTGACTCTAATATTTTACCACTCATGAAAACACCCAACATCTGTTTAGTGTGCAATTGAATCAAATAAATTTTGGCTTTTTTGATACTTTTTCTTTTGTATGTTTGAATTTATGGATTCACAAAGTGTTAACATCTATCTTCAGTAATTTTCTTTTCATAAAGCGTTGTTTCAGTGATATTTCAACGAACAGTTGAATTTAGCAGCAATGGTTGTAATTAATGGCGAATCAATTGGTTGGTCATTGATATTTTATCACCATGCAAATAACTGCAATACAGTGGAAATTGGATAATACGACATCCCTTATAACAACACATCGGTCATAACGAAGTGCGATTCAGTCAGCCCCACAGTTGAAGTCCTATTGATTCCATGTATTTATGCATCAGTTATAAAGACAATCCAATATGATGATCAAATTTGGCTGGTCCCTAGAAAGTTGTTGTATCCAATTTTCAGAGTATATTGAAACAAAAAATTATGATTGATTGAAAAAAATTAATAAAACATCGCTACTTTAACAATGCCAATAATGTAGGATGCTGTTGGTGAAAAAATTGTGATAAATCGGTGTAAAATCGAGTGAAGCCCCACAATCCTACTGCCTTATTTGTGATAAAGTACCAATTAAATTGTAATGTTACTTAAATAAATCGCAATCCCTCTGTTTAAAATTGAGGACATCTTGGGTAAAACAGCATGTGAGACTTGCAATGCTGCTAAGGTTGTGCAATTTTTCATTTATAGCATCAGTCAACTACAGTCAAGAACTTTACAGTTACTCCGCACAGTAGTGAGGAAAAATTTGGAGTGGATTCTTGGAAAAGTTTATGACAGAGCTTCTGGACAGGTTACTTGTGATTAAAGAAGTACATTGCACAATCTTAGCAGCACTGGAAGCCTCATATGCTCTTTTACCTAAGAGGTGGTCGATTACTAATTGGAATAATGCTTAAATTCAGATTCTATCTAACGGTCCATGCCACAAGCAAACTACAGATCAATGAAGTTTGTTCTTGACTTTGGCTTTTTTATTGATATACCTAGAATTTGAATTATCCACAAAAATGTTGCAGTCTAAGATATGTGTGGAGTAACGGATACGACTCTTGCAGAACAAGGCTATCTGCAAGAAGAAGCTTAGGATAAAATTGAATAAGTTCTTAATGATACAACTAGTCGACTCATACTCGTTGGGGACCATGCCGTCGACGGAGGACTCAAAGTAACTGAACAAGGGGAACCAAATTCTCGTGCGATTTGAGTCTCGCTGCATCAACGCTTGGTTGTTGGCCAGCGTGTGATAGTATAAAAACAAACGGGAGGTTATATAAAAAGCGATAAAGACATCGATGGAGTAGTGTTCATGGCCAGAGAGGATGAAAAAGATACCAAACATGTTTAGCATCCAGGTGAATGTGTGCAGGATGTAGATGTCGCGGGGAGTGTCTGCAAACAAAAGTTTATGTAAAATTACAGTTGACAGTCAATGAAAAAAACAGACAAATGGAACAAGATATATTTGCTTACTATAAAAATTGACCAAGACCTATGCTTGTCCATCAAAAAAGGAAGAAATGACCCAATATCCAGAGATTGTCAATTAATCAATTGACTATCGTCGCTTTCCAAAGTGTCGAGGCTCCACCTTAAGCCGGACAGAATGATTTCATTAATTTGAGAGTTCCTGCAACGCTCGCCAGGTACACGACCTGAAGGTTTCACCTTGACTCTAATTTTGGAGCTTTTTGTAGATTTGTGGTTTGTTGGCCCTCCATGCGTCAGAGTAGGTTGCCTTCAGCAAGTGACATTTTTAACATTTCAGTTTTTAGTCTCGGGTGGAAGAAAGGTTTGAAGAAAATTTTGGTTCATTTCTAATATGTTTCATTTCCTTTCAATTTCTTGTAGGTAATCTCAATTTTGTTTATGTTCCATCTATGACTACATACCCTGGAGGTATTCCTCGTTTGTCAATGGACGCTTGTCAATGACGAATGTCAATGGATCCTTATATTGGTGGCTGGATGTAAAAAAAGTGTACCTCAATGGGCCTGTTGCAAACTTTGGCTAGAGCAAAAATGAGAGTCATTTCTTACAGAAAATGTCTTCAAAATCACGATGAGCGCTTAGGCAAATTCTGAAATGCACATCTAACTTCACAATCTGCATAAGAAATATGCATTTTTTTTAGCTTCCCGCTTCAAAAACGATACTAGGGCACACGTGAACATTTCCCTAGAGGAGTCGTTCTATTCAACCCTTTTGCAGTTGCAATACCCAACATAGCCGACGCTGATGCGTTAAAATCGCAATTGGGAGCACAAGATCAACCAGAGCAGACCTTCATTAAAACGTAGAAATCGTAAATGTAAACACGCTGGATTAAAATTTCATTCAGGCACATCTGTTTTGGCGGATTAGTGTCGGTCATGCTGAATATTGTGTAGTATTCTAAAGCACAGGGGTTGGATAGAACGACTCCTCTAACAAAATGTTCACATGCGCCGTAGTATCGTTTTCGCAGCGGGAAGCTTAAGAAAACACAAATTGCTTATGCAGATTGTGAAGTTAGGAGTGCATTTCAGAGTTTGCTGATAGGCTAATTGTGATTTTAGAAACATTTTGTAGAGGATACGAATCTCATTTTTGCTCTAGCAAAAATTTGCAACAAGCCCGTTGCAACATACGAAAATATTCAACTGACTTTTATTTTTTTCAAGGAAAACTAACCAAAATGTTTTCTTGCCTTCATGTGATTACTTTGGAAAGAGAGAGGAAAATTTACAAAAAATTTCAATAAAAAGTGCTGACATCTTTTCCTTTAAAAAGATAAAACATGGGCGGTGACACCGCAATCTGAAATACACATTTTTCGGATTTAGCCATTGATATATTATTTATATAAATAAATGAAAATCAAATAAAAATACCACTCAAGTTAAAAAACAGCGCTGTTATGGTACTGGTACCTACATTCTGTGATGAAGAAGTTGAGCATTGTGAGCGCAACAGTGTGGCCACTGAACATATAGTCTCCGCATGTTCGAACTCCTTGAATGGACATTCCAGCACCACGCCAGATAATATAAGCTTGCTTAACTTTCCGCATGATGTCCATGAAGATGTTCTCAGTGCTGTCAAAAAATCAATTTATTAGCTTTCTATTGTTCAACAAAATGGTGAAACCTGCCATACAACCATTTCTACCAGAGTAATTAATCAAGGAGTCATTGAATGATAAATTAGTTTTCTGGTCACATGGCCACCAGATTAGTATTTGAAACACTTGCCGGCCAGTTTGCCGGTGAGAAATTGCCTTTGGCCACTAAGTAATGAAACCCGCCGCCAACTCTGGCTGCTAAGAAAGTCATTGTTAAACTCCGTTTTTGGGATTTTTCGGCATATCCCTGACTCATGGCACTTTGAAAGGGCAATTTTTCTTTTTGGCTCCTAAGAAAAAAACACTGGAAAAAAAACACATTGGATCTAGAGTCCAGACTCTTAAAAACATCGACAAGAAAAAGTACTCTTGATTCAATCAGAATCTAGCTTAAATCAAGAACCAAGCCTCTTAATTTAAGCGAATTTCGTTTTGATTCAAGCAAAAATCCGATTGAATCATGAGTATTTTCTCTTGTCAATGTTTTCAAGAGTCTGGACTCCAATCCAATGTGTTTTTTTTTTTCCAGTGAAGTTGCAGGCCAGATGGCTGCTAAGACTTCATGTCGAGTTTCAAACACTGCACCAGATCATATATTCATTGCTCTGTAAAAATTGCAAAAAATGTTAATGACTTAAGGTGATTCTACCCCGAAAGTAAACAAACATCGATATATTGATGTTTGTTTACTTTTGGGGTAGAATCACCTTAAGAATTAAGGGGCATTTATGCTGATATTTCATGGTCTTTCCCTATGGCATCCTTTACGACTTTTTGAGCACAAAATATTTCATAACTTTTCCTTTTTAGGATTGATCTCTTGAACTCATTATCTAATCTCTCCAGCAAGCACTACAGTGCTTACTTTTTAGCAGGTAGTTTAACCCATTCGCCTCACATGACGAGCTTACTCATCAGCGGGCGCCTAGGACATCATCTCAGCTGACGAGTTAATTCGCGCCATTTTCGGCATTCCGATGCTTGAGATGCCATCTATCGGAAAATTGAAAAACCACTGGCAAAAAAATCGCATAGCAACGCTGACAGATGCCGCAAATTAACTCGTCAACTGAGATATGTCCCGCGCGCGTGCTGACGAGTATACTCGTCAAATGAGGCGAATGGGTTAAAGTACATGGTCTCTTCTGAGCCTCTATTAAAGAAAGATTAGGAAATTGAAAATTTGCGAAGTAAAGAGAGGAATGAAGTTAGAAAAAATACTTATTTTTCATCATATGCGTAGGTCCGAGGGTTGCACTCCAGATGAGTTCCAGGAACCGACAATGAGGTGATTAACATTGTTATACAACGAAGTAGAAAAACTGTGCCAGAAAGTGCGAAAAATCTTCTAAGCAAAATAAACCTGCAACATAGCAATAGGATCATGTTACTCCTCCCAATTCCTCAGAATCATCGACTTGAGTAAGTTTTGACGATATGGACATCATAAAATGGTGAAAATTTGTCTGTATTGGACGTTTTGAAATAGAGTCTTATAGCCTCAATTTCAAAGAAAATTTTATAAAAAGTCTATGAAGACAGTGATTTTAGTTTCCATGTAATATGAACCAGAAGGTAAAAAACACTTCCTCTTCAAAATCATGAAAAATAGAGGTGAAAAAAAAGACTTACATACATACCTAGATTGACCTAGACCATTTATGAAAAATTGTGATCAAATATTTTAAAAGTACCAGACTAGGTCAAAGGTTAAAATAAAATTTAAAAACTCACTAGTCAGAGAAAATTCAAAACTATCCGACGTGCGTTTCGACCCGTTGGATCATCATCAGGGGCGCAACTGGTATGATCTTCAGATATGCGGCGGTTGCTGGGCCTTTCTTTAATGTCCTTGTTGCCAGATGTTTGAAACAACTTAAATACTGTGTTGGGTGGCGGAAATTCTACATTCATCAGGTGGTCTTTCTTTTGTTTTTGGATAAAGATATTTTCCCAACATGTCAGTCTATTGATATTATTTTCTTCCTTCAGTAATTGAGGTTCAAAATCTATGTCGTGTTTTTCTTCCCAAATATTGTGATTAAAAGAATGATTTTCTGAACTTTAGAAGCTAAAAGCATCATCTATAAAGTCAGACAGAAAAAAAGTCAGGAAAAAAAATTAGACATTTTTTTTTATTTGGGATACTTATTTCTTTCCTTGCAAGGTCATTGCTACTTTGGCTGTGTTTTTATGATTCTTCCCTTTCTGAGTTTATACGAGCCAAAGCAATAATTCGTTTCAATGATATGAATAAGCAATAAATAAAACAAACCTATGCTTGTGAAAAACAAGGACACAAATCCAGATGAGGAGGAGCAGGGTGCCTGTCCATTCACACATGTGGAATGCCCAGGGGATATAAGGCACATTGTCCAGGAATATGTCTGGCAGAGGAGGGTAGCGTTTCATGTCGGGCACACGATCATGTACAATCACCATTACAAACGCAGTTATCCAAGTCACGACAAACACATACGCCATTGCAATAAGAGTCTTCGACACCTGTAATCAATCAAAATCTAGTTTAAGACATCAAATTACAGCAGTAAAAAAATCATGGTTCATGTGGGCTAGAAAAACAAGGAATCAGGTACATTCAAGTATTTTTCATTGATATTTGCACAAATGTTGAAGCATTACAAGACACAATAAAAATTAACTTATTACCTATCACAGGACAAATTTCCTCATCAAAATTTCAAGCAGAACACAATAAAGAAAAGAGATGCTTAAGATTTTCTTGGGTTCTTTTAACGTTTTTGATCATTTTTTAATTTATTGTTTGTAATATTCACTTAATTTTAGTTGATTCAGAGAATTTTATTACAGCAAATTCGCTCGGAACTCCAGATCATATTTAACAAGAATGGTATTTTTTATTTTTATATGCGATTTAACGTTCAATTCCTGATAAGTTACGAGGAGTAGTAGCTTTATAGTTGTCAAATTCAATTTTGTTAATAATGCTACTTTGTGAGAGCTAATTTAACAGGCTAAGTTATTATCCTGTCTTAGGTGATTTCTGCAATTCTATTTTTGTATTTTCTGTTAACTTGCTTTTGTGAATTGGAGCAGAGGATCTTTTTTATTTAGAGGGTCAACCGATGCAGCTAAATTTTCTGGAGTAATAAATTCCTTTGCATAATTCCTATGAATTGCATTTTGTATGAGTGAAAAAATGGTTGAAAAAAACAAACTTACCTCAGGTCTCAGTTTGGTTGCCAGGCCATCTTCTGATGATGGTGTTGAGTGCGTGTAGCAGACATCAGGATCGGTGTACCCTAATTCATTATATGAATCGTAATACTAAGACAAAAAAAACATAAACCGTCATGAAACAGTGATCAATAATATCCTCTACAATTTGGTGCAAAATTTTCAGGGAATATTAATGAAAGAACCAAGAAAAATCATGCAACATCCTACTCGAAAATGATACTTAGCCAGGCTTTCTTTAGAACAGTAAATTATGACAGGAGCTTTGCAATTTTGCAAACCAAGACACAAGGGACGGTACTTCTACCATTTATATGTTCGATAAGGATGCATGTGAAGTTAGGGTAAGATGACAACATCCAATAAGCTATGAGAAGCAAAAAACTTTCCAAAAAAGTACTCAAAACTCCAATAAAAAGAAGAGACTGTTTTGAGGAGCAGCTGCTAGAGTCAGGACTTTTTAAAAGGAAAAAAGGCCTCTTCCCTTAAAATCATACCTCTTCACATATTTGAACCCTTCCATTGTTCTTATGTAACCTGACAAAGTGGCAACTTGGCAGTTTGTACTTTGGAACAGAAGCTATAAGCGCTTGGAAAGTATATTCATAATCAAAGTGAAAAAATGCTCCGCTTGTAACATTGCAGACTTTCTGTCATACTTTCCTTCTTTTTTGGAAAACTAATCAACACTACCTCTTGAAAATTTCATTGATTTTTCTTCATTGTTAGTAGAATATTTTGTACAAATTTCAAGCTATCAAATTGGTTTGTTTCTCTTCAAAAAATAAAATAGTGACTGAAATTGTGAAAAATTGTTATGGAGATGAATAGTTTTGCACTTCGGCCATAGATATGGCAGTAGAAAGTGCAAGTAGTTTTGTTTCTGCTAAAAAATTTATTTTTTGGACTTCCAACTTCTGAAAAAACCCTGATTCATCCATGTAACTTGGAGTATTTGCAATCAGTTCTTTGCAATACTGAAGGGCATTTTCCTCTAAGGGCTAAAATTCTTACTATTAGAGGTAACTCAAGAAAAATCACTTTCTTGAAGATTTTGCCTCTGAAGACTGAGTCCCCTGAAACATTTACAGAGTGAAATATTGATAGCTGAAGTGCCAAACCATACATATCTGTTTGCCACGGCGTAGACTTCCTGTCATGCTTCAATTTTTTTTGGCCAAGCTACTGCATAAAATTCCTTAAAAATTTTCTTGATTTTTCTTCTCAGTTAGCAGAATATTTTGTAAAAACTTCAAGCAATAAGTGTTCCTCTTTGAAAAATTAAAATAGGAACGGAACTTTGGAAACACCGCAATGAAGATTATAGTTTTGCACTTTGGCCATCCATATGATAATGCCCCATGTTTAAACTATTATTCAAAAAAGAATTGAGACTCACAAAAGGATTGGATGAGGAGAGTCCTTTACCATACGGTGAGCAAGGTGAGAGATGCAGAAGAGATGTAGGATCAAACCCAAGCTCTTGGATAGATTGACGATTGTCTGCTTTCAGTTGTCTGATATCTAGATTCAGCCTTTTCATATCTCCTAGAGCCTGAAAATGAAATAAATGATTATACCTATAGTGGTAATAAACGAGTGTTCTGCCTTTCTTCTGAACAACCGCACTCAAAAGGTTAAGGATGCTGGATGCTGGCAGCGAAGATTTAGGCTTTATGCTAGACTGGAATCAAAGGTCAAGGTAACAAGGGATTCAGTCTTTTCTCTTTGCAGTCCATTGCATTTCAATGCAGTTTAGTAAAATAATAAAGGCAATAAGTATCATATCGCTTGGTAAAGCATCAATGTTAACTAACATTTCACGATTAGTACATGATTAACCAGTTTTAGATATATTACCCTTTGGCACCTTGAAATCCTGAAATTATTAGAAACAAGGACTGAGTGCTTACAGTTATGTTGAGCAACGGAGATCGGAGGTCGGAATCATTGAGGAGCAGCAACGCTTTTCCGTCAATGCGATTTTTTTCGAATGTTGATCGCAGCCGCTCATCGTACCCTTTCTCATGGAGCCACTGTTTAACATGTTTTACACTCCAATAGATGACATTGACATTCGATGATGGTGCAGCTTCAGACATTGTCGTTTTACTGCCCACCGCCATTAAGACTAAGCAAACAAAACTCAATTAGGAATTCCACTCGTTCCATATTTTTTAAAGATAAGATTTTGCTGAGGTGATAGACATGCTGAGGGTTCCAGTGAACCCATGGAAAAGATTACACTTGGAAACATAGTAAATGCTTTGAAAGTTTGCAATCCAAGGGGCAAAGTGCAAATGGTTTTGAAAAATCTAATGGGCACCGAGTATTAGAAGTTACACAAGAACACAACATCGAAGATGAAAAATGCCAGACATTTGTCCTTCACTGACACTCAGATGAATTTGAGGTATTAAAGATCACCCACAGTTTATTACTCCACAAAATAATTAGTGCACTCTTGAAAATTAGGATGAAAATGAAAAAATACAAAAGCAAAAGCACTAAAATTGAGGTTATATCTCTTCTGGACCAGAAACACACAAACAACACGAAAGTCAAACGCGTTAATTATTCCAGTAGCCGCGAGAGTGCATAGAGCTCGCAGGCTGTAAGATATGTGGATGTAATAGCGCCTTACAAATGTCTATTATGTAACCCGTGCAACGAATGAAAGAATATCTCTGGATGAGAGACTTCAATGCAAAAGAAGAAAAATAAGAAGTATATCCTGAGTTTTTTTTTGGAAATATCCAGAGATTGCACTATTTCACGATGTTTAAGTAAAAAATTTAAAAAAATATCTTTGAGTCTAATGTATAAGGCTGAAAGGTTTCCCTCCTGCCCCGTGTTTTTAATCATTGGCGTAGTTAGAGGGGTTTCGGGGAGGGGGGGGGATGGCCCCTTGGAATTGGGAATAGTATCATTTGACACCCCCCTCCCCCATCCAGGAGGGGAGGGACTGAAAATCTGTTGAATCCAACAATTCGAAAATATTCTGAAAATTCATACAACAGCGTAATTTTTGTGCAAGATTGAATGGAAAATTTGCGGTTATGAGCTTAATCCTAATATAATCGATCAAATATGTCAGAAGATGAAAATTTCTCGCAAAGGGAATAGCCTCCTCCGATTACTTAAGGAACGTATTTATTTAATTTCATTTAATTTGGCGTTCAGAATGGCTTAAAATTGCCCTGAGACGTTCCAATTTTCAACAATTTCCCCCATTAGCCCAAGCTCTGTATCCTCCTG